ACATTAGATGCTATTGCATACACTAATCCAAAGGCTCGTGCGTCATCAGGTATTCGGTGAGTCCAAGATCGTAGAGTACACGATAAAGGAAAACGCGACCGGACCGGGGAAATCCCAGGTAATTAGAAGCTCATTTGGACATCATCATCTTCTTCATTGGATCGTCGCCACACATATACTCTATATAGTAACAATGGACATCTTTCACAAATGAGGTCGGAATATTAATGCAATGGGTGATGCATGAATGCAGATACTGATCGACAACAAGCAACACTACAAGGTCTTTGGCAAGGATGTCGACCTGGAATCCCTCATCACGCTCGACGTCGAGGATGGCAAGGTCGTCAGGCACCAGGACTGGTAAGCTAGAACAATATTTATCTTATCTGTCACCAAACATAATCATCGAGACGCTACCATCTACTAGCTAGTTAGTGTGTTAATTGTCAGAATGTATATGCAGGTGGGACAAAAAGCCTCTCAAGAACAGGGAGACGGTGAGCTTCCCGCTGTTGGGACGGCTGGCGCAGACGAGCCGCCGGGGAGCCATGCTGCTCACCCATGTTCTCATGGGCTTCGGCAAGGACCCCACCCCGTGATTTAGTCGCTATGATTTGGTTTCATTCTACTCCGAGTACTCCTATATTGGTGGTTGGAGGTTTTGGGATCCATTTCCATAGACAAAAAACCAAAAGTAAAGTTAGATGTATTGTGTATTCCAGAATTACAGTAATGCCATTTATTATTATGTAATAATGTTATGTCAATTACTAACGCCCATTACCTCTAACTAGAAAGCTTGCACGTGCAACACACGTCTTGCTCCTTTCAAAGATTCGTTTTGAATCGCACCTGCGCAAGTAAACCACAACAAGCATGAATTCAAAGATCTAAGTGAAGACACTCACCATGCTTGAAGATAAACTTAGACACCATATTTGGCTCGCTATCATTATGTAAGTTGAGCAACAATGAGAAGTTTTTCAAAGGAAGATCAATAATTGTGGACATGCGGTCCGATACAACTCACAGAACTATTACAAGGGAACAATGTAAATGAATAAACAATTGGTATAAGGAATGCGGCCACAAATAAAGAGCATATAATGGTGAAGAAAATTAAACATAATGTATTGGACAACAATGCCCAAGCATGTTATGAAATTTGTAGAGTATCTTCCAAAAAAATGCGAGGAAGAGTAACTTCAAATTCGATTGTGAGATATCATCTATTCCAAGTTGATAACGTCTAAAATACATGGGTGAGCCATGCTGCTCACCCATGTTCTCATGGGCTTCGGCAAAGACCCCACACCGTGATATAGTCGCTATGATTTGGTTTCATTCTACTCCGAGTACTCCTATATTGGTGGTTGGAGGTTTTGGGATCCATTTCCATAGACAAAAAACCAAAAGTAAAGTTAGATGTATTGTGTATTCCAAAATTACAGTAATGCCATTTATTATTATGTAATAATGTCACGTCAATTACTAACGCCCATTACCTCTAACCATGGGAACCAATTGAGTCCACAAATGGCCCGATGTGTGAGAAATGAAAAAAATAGCCTTGTTTGAATTTTATCATGACGCATTGAGAAAAAGGTCAAAAGAAGAAGGGGTAAACATTGTGTTAGTCTTCTCGTTATAGCTTACATCAATCATGAAGTTGTGTGAAACTCGAACGTTGCAATTGCGGATTATGGGTAACCAAAGACTACAAATGATGCAATGACTCTAGCTTGTAGGCACCACAGAGGAAAGGCGAGGGTGAATAGGAAGGGAAAATTTTGTTTTTAATTTGCCACTCTAGATTTTGCAATTTTTCTTATGCCACTTTAGATTGTGACATTTCACTTTTGCCATGCTTAGCTTTTGACAATTGTCACAATTGCCATTCCGTTGCAAAAGAAGAAAAATTTTATTTCATTTTTGCCACTCTTAGCTTTTGAAATGTATCACAATTGCCACTCTGAAAATTTTGCTTTTGCCACGGGAATGGCAATTGTGATAATTATCAAAAACTAAGAGTGGCAAAAGTGAAATGTCAAAATCTAGAGTGACATAAGGAAAATTGGCAAAATCCAAAGTGGCAAAAACAAAATTTTCCCGAATAGGAAGGCCAAGGGAAGCAGAGGAGCAAACAAGCGCGTCATTGGAGCTCGAAAACCTATTGCAGCGAGACAATAGTGAAAACCCTAGTGTCACATCAAACCACAAAACAACCTGGATAGACATAAATAACCCGACCCGACGGTAACCTTTTTCTTTTGTGAAGTGGAATATTACATTCCATTATTGAACTTTCGCAGCTAAATATTTCAGTACAAATCTTTGTGCACAGTACACAAGCTGAAAAATGATTGGACTGGTCGTATGACTTGGGGTTCACTAACCAGCCATGCACCAAAAGCGCAAAAGCCATGGGCCATAAGCAACTTGACAACACAAAAATCAAGGACATTATCTCCTTTGTTTTTTATAAGTGGGGAGATAGTCTCCTCGGTGGCGGTAGCTTGAATTTTTAAAAGGTTTACACGACATTCTCCACACAATAGGGTCAAGGTGGTGGGAATGTCCCCCGCAAAAAGAAAGGTGGTGGGAATGCCCACAAATAATCGTATGTAGTGAACAAAATTTCACTTGCCACATCTCTCCAACCAAATCGACTAGTTCCCCTTAATTTCCCAATGAAAGTGTTCTCTCACAGTTTATTAACTCCCTTCTGGTCACGCCTCCCCGCTGAAGCTCACACTGCCAATCGCCTTTTCTCCGGTGGAGCTTTGTCCCAAACGAGCCATTGCCAGTTGAATACACATTGTTTTTGTCAAAAAATGTATACCTTTCGGGAAAAGAAAAAATGTATGCTTTTTTGGGTAAGAAAGCTAGCCCAATTTTATGTGTGTTGCACTATCACTCCCACCCTACTCCGATATGGCCCAACGACCCAATTCTGTAAACACCCCATCGCCACAGTGCAGACACAATTTAGTGCCTAGCTCGGTGGATAGACATGTATTGTGCACCCCCGCGTCACATCCTCTTTTATCTGGGTCGACCCACTTTATTCGTTGGTAGAACTGTTTAAGGACACTTCCCTTCCGTTTTGGACAAGGTTCTATAACCTTCCTAGACCAGGTTTTTTTTACTCTGTGTTTTTTTCATTGTGACTTTCCTTATTTTCATATGGGAACAATTTTAAAATATATGATTATGAAATTAGAACTTTTTTAAATGCGGGTACAATTTTCAAATTCATGAATATTTTTTTGCAATCCAGGAACATTTTTCAAATTCACAAACATTTTATAATTTGTAAAATTTATCGAAATCTAGGAACATTTGCAAATTTGTGAACATTTTAAAAAATGGAGTAACAAATTTAAAATTTGTGATTTTTTTAAAACCCTTAGAACATTTTTCAGATTCATGGAAATGCAGGATCAATTTTGAAATTCTTGAAACATTTGTAAAACCAGATTTTTTATCAAATCCATGTACATTTGTGTTAAAACCGGGTATATTTTGAAAGTTTATGAACAATTTTTCAAATTTATAAACACGGAATTGTTTTTGAGTTTGTGAACATTTTTTCAAATTCTTAAAACAGTTTTTTGAATTCCAAGAATATTTTTAAAATTTGTGGACAGTTTATTAATTGGAACATTTTTCATAATCATGAACATTTTTTGAATTGGCATATACTTTTTGAGTTGAAGAACATTGTTTTGAAATCACTATCATTTGAGTTTTTTTTCTGTTATTTGAGAACAAATTACAAACATTTTATGAAATTAGATTTTTTTTTAGAAATTTCATATAATTCGGTGTTCGATTTTTTGTAAATCCCAAACAATTTTTAGGGGTGTACGAAAACAAAAAGAGAGAAGAAAAACAGAAGAATGAAAAGAAAAAAGGAGCGCCCGCCCTGCACATGGGCCGGCACAAAGTGGGCTCGCGCGGGGGGAGTTGCAGACCACTTCGGCGTTTCCTCCGCTGAATTCGAACCCTAGGCACGGCACGGCCGCGGCGGCCGGCGGCGTAGGCATCCGGCGTCCTGCCTTCGTTCCTCGCCGGTCTGGCCTCTTCGCTCCGTCTCGGCGGCAGCGCCCAAGGCCGCAGCGGGCGGGCGGTGTCGCCTTCCCCCGTTCTTGGGCGCTCCGTAGGTTCGTTTTGCTCCCTGTCCGCTGATTCTTACTATCTGAAATTCGAGACCTGTTTGCTGTGGATTCATCAAGTGTCGAAACACGACTAGCGAGATTGTTTGAACTACAGTAGCATATTTGATTCGCTAACACATACTCCCATAGTTTAGAGATTTTCAGTTGGAACCTACTATAGTACTCCCTCCGTTCCAAATTACTCGTTGCTGAAATGGATGTATCTAGAACTAAAATACCTCCATACGTGCGACAAGTAATTCGGAACGGAGGGAGTATTTAGTACACGGGTTTACATTTGTATACATGTCGTTCATGCTTAGAGTGAATGTTGGAACTAAACACGTAACACGTTGCTCCTGAATAATTCGAGTGGAAGTCCACATCTAGGTTAAGAAAGGAGGGCATGTTTGTGGGTTAAATTGACTCTCTGTGCTGTTGGTGCTCAAGTACAGTTGCATTTGAACGTTTGCCCACGTTGACAGCCTCTCAGTTATACACCTTAAATTGTTTGTTCAACCGCTATTTTGCAGGACAAGTTCTTTTTTCTTCATATTTTAACCATCCATTCTTCAAATGATGGCACATGGTTTCCAAAGTGATAATCAAGTTTTTCACCTCATCGACACTATAGTCGAGTTCAGTTCTGTTAATATAAAAACATACCAGACTTGTTTCCCTAAACTGCCATCTCTCGGTTGTTGCTTCTTTTTCGTTTGGCAACTTACTTAGTGCACTGCTTAATTTCTGCATGTACTGTATTTTTAGTGATATGTGGTAGACTACGCGCTAATGTTGGCTCCCTGTCTTCTGGAATTGCTAGGCCATTCTGAAGAAATGAGTACGTGTAAAAAGGCCAGGGCGGAAGCTACATCTGTTGTAAGTTCAGACAGACTGAGCAGTCTGCCTCCAGAGATAAAGGGCGACATCCTCTCCCGTTTGAATGCCGAAGAAGCAGTTAGGACTAGCACCTTATCAAGTACTTGGAAGGATGCATGGACTGAAATGCCAGTAATATCTCTATCTGATGGAAATCTTACAAGAACCAAGTTCGTTACGTTAGTGGATATGGTGCTATTACTCCACAAGGGACCAATAGAGGAGTTTGAAATTTCAGGTAGCAAAAATTACCATGATGAGTTCGGTAGGTGGATGATCATGCTGTCAAGGAGATCACCAAAATCAGTTACAATCAAGTTGAACTCAGGGCCAAAGTATAAGATTCCCTCCTGCCTCTTTTCTATCGGTGATCTGGAGTCTCTGGACCTAAAAAACTGCATCATCAGCTTGCCCCGGGCATTCCAAGGTTTCAAGAGCCTAAGTGACCTCAGCATGAAAATCTTCTCCTCCACAGACAAGGATATCCAAAATCTGATCTCGTTCTGCCCCGTACTGACTTATTTGAGATTAAAGTCTTTTGAGGGCATCAACCGTCTAAACATTAAGGCTCCTAAACTGGATTATCTTAATGTTCATGGGGATTTTAAAGACATTAATTTGGATGCCCCTAATCTGGAGATGGCCTCTCTCTTTCTTGATAACAAAGCATATCAATCTGTTCCAATTGCGCATGACAAGGAATGCTATGTCAAACAGTTATTGTGAAGCCTAAGTGACATAAAAAATACTTGGAATTAGTGACACTTTATTGAAGGTTAGCTATTATTAGCTCCAAAAATTACTATGGCCTTCTTCTGCCTTCTGACTAATCTGTTTTGCCATTTCCTTTTTCTTTTGTTTTCCTTTCTATTTGCAGTGTCTATCAGAGGGGTGCATAGTTACGAAGGTCCCTGCCGTGTTTACTCGCCTGGAGAATATTTACCTTACAATATGCTTTTGGGACCAGAGGCAAGTCTTGATTGCATGCTCATTGTTTCAGAATGCCCCTGACTTGAAGAGTGTTGAGATGTGGGTACGTATGTCTCCAGTAAATCTTCTCCCTCCCTCGATCATCTGATCTATGTTTGATGAGTCTACGGCACCTAATCAGTTGTGAGAAAAAAAATGCAGAGTTACCCTTCGAGCACATGGGATCAGGATCAGGCGAGCATTCAAGAGCTTACCCCGCAAATGCAAATGGACCATCTCGTAACGGCCAGTGTGAAATGGTTCCGGGGTTTGGACTACGAAGTCGAATTTGTTGCAAAGCTATTGAGCTGGGCACCTGCTCTGGAAGAACTGAAAATAGAGTGGGAGGGCGAAACTGACCGCAGCATGGTTCTTACGAAGCTATTAGCTCTGCCAAGGGTGTCTCCCAGGGCCAAGATCATTGTCACATGATAAGTATGCTCCCTCATCACCTTGCCGATCTAATTTGCTACTGGTAGAATTATTCTGGCTTTGTTTTAAGAGTGTACCAGCTAGGACTACCTGGTGGTTATATATGTGTGTGCACTGGCCGCAAATCATCAGGTAGAGGTAGTGTGTTTTGTTGAACATTTGGTGTGAGTACTTAATGTGCTATTAGCAAGTGTGTCCATATAAAATGCCGCAAACCACTGCTGTTGTTCCTCAAATGCGTCAGCTCAGCTCGTCCTGTTTTGTGCTTGTGTTCTGTCTATGATACATTCCTGGTTGTAGCAAACATATGTGTCCATGAGATGTGATCACATCTAGGAAGGCATCTTCATGGTTTACCAACAAGAAGTGAATCAAAGGCATCAGGTTGTACATTCTGCATGTGTCAACATATGCAGCACGAAGTAATGAGATCGAAGCAGCTCATGCTTGAATCAGCCTGCTTTTGGAAATCGAAGCATTTATCAAATTGGTTTACATTGGTTTCGGGTTGGTATGCAAGGGAAATATTTCTATCACTGTCACTTTTAATACGTTGCTTCAACATTATTCACTGTGGTGTTCTCGTATTGAGGTGAACAGGAACCAGTTTTTACTTCAAATGATTTTACAGAATTCAAAGCTATTTATTCATGTGTTAATCAAATCTCGCTTTTGGAATGAGCTGCAGCCAGTTATTGTTCTCACATCGGGCGACTGGACTAATTGCATATGCTTCTATTTGTATTTTACATTTATATATACTGATGAATTAGATGACCTTCTCTATGGGCCCTATTGCCTCAGCTATTTTCTTTTTCTGTAATTTACACACTACATTTTCATGTGTTTTAAGCGTCTTCAAAATATCTTCCCAGAAGGACTGTTCATAATATAAATTTTAAATTGACGGACTAGATTTTCACAGCCCTGTTTGCTTCAACTTCGGGAGGCAGCTAGACTAGAAAAAAGCTGGAGTTGCACCAAACAACTAGGAAAAGCTGAAAGCCCAAAGTCGATTCGAGCTATTTTACTGCAGTGGGCTGAAGCACGACCGGTTGGATGTGCAAAATCGATTGAAGATATCTTCCCAGAAAAATAAAATAAAATTAGATATATTGTGTACTCCAAAATTACTATAATGCCATTGACCATTTTCATAGACCAAAAAAAAGTAAAATTAGATATATTGTGTACTCCAAAAAGTAATGCCATTGGCCATTGGCACGGGACTTCGAGATGTACGCGCCCGATGGCACATTTGAGGACCCGCTCATGCGCGCCCACGGGTAAAATGATTGAATTTGTTGTTGCCTCTTCATGTGACCCATCATCCATGTGCCTTTTTTAAACGAATTCTGTTCGATCCGATCACAACGTGAAGCAGATCAAATCAGCCCTCACGATGCCTATGGTCCATATGCAAATTCCCAATAGTAGAAAAACCCTTATTAGTCCCGGTTGGTGAGGGCCTTTTGTCCCGGTTCTTGAACCGGGACTAAAGGGTCGTTACTAATGCCCTAGACCTTTAGTCCCGGTTCTAACACGAACCGAGACAGATGGGCCTCCACGTGGCCGGTGCGCCGAGCCCAGGCAGGAGGGCCTTTGGTCCCGGTTGGTGGCACCAATCGGG